AATAAAAAAGATTGTCTAGAAAGGAAAATCCGTTAGAAGCAATAGTGAAAGAGCGAAAAAAAAGTGAAGTTAGAAGTGAAGTACAACTACATCGAGAGGTCTTATTATGCTGTAAAAAACTGCGGAACCTCCTACGAAAATTTTACGGGCGTGTACGGAAAAAAGAGCAGTGAGAAGTTATTTTGTTTCAATCAAAAGAAACAGCTTTTGTGTATTTTTTCAACGTATTTCTGCCTTATTTCCAACTTCTTTTGTTCTTTTTCCTTTTACTGTTACTTTTGACAACTACATCTCTTAAGAAACTTCTTTTTCACAAAAGCTATATTTTTTGCCAACTAATCCCAATTACGAATTTTTTCACTAAACCAGTAGTCCTCGCCAGGGTTCCCGGTGAAAAAAAACCAAAAAAAAAAAACCGTCACCGAGTCAGAAGTACTACTTTTTTCTTTATACTTCTGTATAAACTTTATGCACTAACGCCATCGCGACGGAACGGTGCACAATGAGAAAGAAGTAGTTTACTCAGCGCACTAAGGACACGCATCCAACCAAATTGCCAAATTATTCGGAGTCGCGTGCGGGAGTGCTTCTTCTGTAAAAGCGCTAAAGTTAATCCTGATTTTTTAAAAAAGCTTAACCGGAAACCAGGAAGAATGAGCCGAAGTTTTGTTCCACATCCATATGCTTCTTTTTGGGCATCTTTTGTTTAATTTTCTTCAGACAAAGAAATAATTTTTTGTTCAGCATAACCGGATATTGTAACTCAAAGACAGCAGGAGTATTGGCAGTAACTCTTTAGAAAGTTGAAAAGGCTCATTTATTTTTTTCTTCATATATCATCATTCCCTCGAATACTTCTTACCGTTGAGAAAATTGTCTTAGTGGTCAAGTAAGTGATGTTGGTAAAAGATGACGAATATTTTGACTGATAAAAGCGACTGGAGCCCGGATCCCTAACCACCTTTATTTTGTCCATAACACACGACTGTAAAAGCAGGAAAAAAACTACCACGCAATGGTAACCTTGTTTTGACCTGTAAACGACTTCCATGAACTGCAATCACACTGCAGCCTCGTCAAACATACTTCAGTAGCAACCCCAGACACTTCGAGTGGAAGCTGGAGATCTAGCGCCTAGGATCGTTCCAAACGCGCCCTTTTCATTGCTCAACGTATCACAACTTGATTTGCAAAATTTTGGTAAGGCTTCGCATCTTAACCGGAAGAGGAAGCCCAAACCGTACGTCTAAGAAATGCACCGTAAATAGGAACGCACTGCACTTTAAATACAATAAAATAGAAAACTGTAAAGAAAGTAGACGAAGTACTTTAAGGAGTTGGATCATTCTTTCGGAGCTGTCGGTTAAAGTTTGGTAAAGGCTAGAATCAGGTCTCTTATGCCAGGTGCCAATGTTGTATTATACAGATCTTTGATGTATATGTTTTGATTCATTTCTTTTATTCCTGTTGATGAGGTCGACGATTTCCTTCTCCACTCATTTTTAAGTGTAAATCCGTGGGAGCGAGTGCCGACAGGCCGCCCCATCTAGTCGTAGTGCTGAGCATACTTTACAGCTCAGTTGGAATACACACCGACGACTCCAGAGTCGCTACTCTCCCGGCTAAGCTAGTAGGGAATTACACGCAAGCCGAATGAGCTGTTATACTTCTTATATTCGCTTGCCCCTTCGCGTCTTCCTTGACCAACGGAAGTCAACTATATTACGTATCCATATAATGTACATAATCGACGTGCAAAATCTCCCCAAAACATGTGCATTTCCCTACAAAAGACTATAACATCCACTCAGATCCCATCCACACCCTTCCAGCCTAAGATGACCCGCCTTCTGGAAGTCCAGCCACTCAGTTTTCGATCCTCTGGTATTAAATCTCCCAAACGACCGGTGAGAAATACGCAGAATGCAACCACTTGCTTGGAACATCTCAAGAATCCCTACTTGAGGGCACTTTATAAAGGCCGCACCTCAACGAAAAAAGCAACCACCGCACCAAACCTGTTAGATTTCCTCTGCGGAACCACCCAAAATAGTCAAAACTTTATTTCCAAAAAGAACAACTAGAGGAATGTGTTGTGAAGACGTGCGAAGACACCTACCTACTAATGATAACTAGTTTAGACAATGACTAGTAACAGTTTTTAAACGTGGATTTCAAATTAGCCCGAAGTATCCCCCTACCAAAACTATGCCTGACCAATAATGGGCAGAACTCTTCGTTTTGGACAAAACACTTTTGCACCAATGGATAATAAAACAATACAAATCACCGAACACAATACGTACGTGGACCAGCATAAACAATGTTATGAACTGAAAACATGTCTATATTCTGTACAAACCTCAGTAAAATAATATTAGACATTTATGGATCATGAAAGGCAACCTAATTTTATAACAGCGATATATATATAACAGACCCGCATCACATTCAGATTGCTTGGCGATGTCGAAAAAACTTTAAAGCACAACAATTTTGTAGTGTCTACAATAATAACGTATACCAAAGCTAAATCACACAAAAAACTAATAAATCTATTTATCACAGTTGATTAAGCCTCTGTAACAAATCAGTGGTTTCAAGAGCCTTCCTCGGTTTTTCGTTTTCCCTTCTACCATTAGAAAGGTTTTCAACCTGCAAAAATTGATTTTAGACCGGGAACAAAAAAAAAGTACCTCTTTTACTAAACAACCCGCTCAGAAACTCTCACATCCATTATCAAAGTTGGTTGGCCTTTACGGCGGACACGTACTGTACCAGTTGCCGGTAAATCCAGCTTTGGGGTTCTCTCACTAGGTACTGACAAGAATGTATCTGCAACTCGAGAACGCTGTCGCTGAAGCGCAGCTCGACCTAGAAGTTTTAATAAACTAGAAAAGATGAAATGATGATTTAAGAAATACCTTTTCTCTTCACATGCCGCCGAACGCGTGCTAACTGACCTGCTCTCGTACGTGGAGTATTCCGAGGAGTCTTCCTCTCCGCACCTTTCAAGTATCCACCTTCCAGGAATTTCTCAATCTCATCAACAACACCCGCAGCTTCTCTGCCTGAAAACCCAAGATTCTAAGGAAAGAGTGGGTTTGAGATGACATGGAAAACAATATCGTAACAAGTGCAGAAAGAAGATATGTCACATTAAAAAATATGGCTCTCCAAAAGTGCTGTATTAAGAAAAATGTACCTGTCTTAAGAAGGCCCTCAATTCTAACTCCACTAGTCTTCACCAGCGACGCAGCTGCACCAGATGCTTGAAGAGGTTTAAGTGGCTGACGATTTTTTCTTTTTTCTTCCAATTCCCTCTTCTCTCTTGCTTTTTCAATGTCACGATAAGCACTCTACAATGGCAATAATAAGGCAACAATAACGTCGACAATGAAATGAAATAAGATGTGTGAAATAGATGCAGGTACTTCATACTGCTCCTTGAATGTTCGCATATCACCAAAGAATGCCTCCATATTATACTTTTTAGCGTCAAATGCGAAGTAATTCTGCATACTTTTCCACTTCGAATTCATAGTATTAAACATCTTGAAACAACATAAATAATAATTATCATTTTCGCAAAGTTGACAAGTTGACTCTGTTTTTTTCCAGATATTTTTCAACAAGATACCAATAAACAATTTCTAACTGAGCAAAAAGAAACCATAATTATTAGCACCATGCACTTAGGAACAAAGTACGATAGGTAGCAATAATAAAAAATAGCAAGCCCACTAAAAAAACCTGACTTCTTCAACAATGCCACACTCAGTTTTGGCCATGTTTGTAAACGGTTGAAGTTTCTCAACGAATAAGTCATTTTCACTCTGCTTCTTGTAATCTCTCAGCTGATTTTCCAGCTAAAAATGCCGCAGATGAACAGTTTTTGAAAGTTTGTAAGCTAAACAACACAAAATAAAAACAAAGATTATCGAGAAACGAACTTTCGCCACAGATGACTTTATTGCTGTTACCCCTTTAGCTGTTTCTTCTGGATTCACTCTGGAGGCTTTTACAATGTGCATAAAATCGTTCATCGGGAACTGCGAATAACCACCTTTTATTTCCATCATTTGTTTCACCAGTAAATGCAGTAATGTTTCAACATTGTCAACATCCTTTGTATCAACCAACTGAATTAAAGATTTTGCACGACTGGCAAAAAGAAAACAGTAACTTTCAAAAATCACTTCTTAATTCACTGGTAATTAAACATTTGTAGCTAAACAATATCCTGTCAGAAATAAGGTTTACCTTTGTCAATACACTCATTTCAAAACCAAAGACGTCCTTATATGACTTCGCAGACTGTCCCATATAATTACCAACTAACAACACCAATTCCAGAAACAGCTTGAAACCTGATGAAGTATGGATTTCATCGCATGCCTCGATGACAGCAGAAATGCTCTGAATTCATAAGTTGTCAAAAGTTTAAAAAATCTGAAATATTGTACAAAAAAAACTAACCGACTTCTGATCGTTCAGTAATTCAGTAAACCGTAGTTTGAAAAGAATGCAGTCCAAGCGCGCCGGCAATGCTCTGATTACAGAAAATGTTGCAGCAAACTAAAAGCTAGTAAATTCATCAAATTTCCATTTTCAAACAGGAACCATAAAAGATCAACAACGCTCCACTTTCTTGAACAGTGAACTCGTTTTGCAATGCTAAACACAATGATGAGGAATTCAATACGACAAAATGCCCAGACTTGAAATAAATCAGGACCTGCTCTCCTTCAGGCATCTCCTCAAGACTAGTTCCTGCAACCTCTTTTAACTGGTTCAAAAGTTCCACTGGAGGTAGTGCATTACGTAGCTGCTGCAATGTGTTAGGATCTAAAGTTTTTTCATCCACTTCTAATATGGCTCTCTTCCATTCTCGTGCAGGAATCTTGCAGGAACCTCGCAAAATTGCTGAAATAAGAGTAACCCAATAAAAACATTTTGTACCAGAAGAAAAAAAATAAAAATACAAACCTAGAGCTTGAAGAATTTTCTCGTCTTGAATAATCAACGGCTTTTTCACTTTTTTCATCTGTAATCCGGGTTTTGCAGCCGCTTTTTCTGCGCCAGGTGCAGGAGGTTTACTAAAGTCAGAAATGACCGGATAGAAAGATTGGTAGCAAGAAGTAGGACATCAAATCAACACAAGATTGTGAGAAATTAAAGAAAGTCCTAAACTAAAAACCACGATGGTCTAATAGACTAATGAACCTCAACGCACATGATGAGGCTCTGGATAATAGTTGGACCGTTTGACTTTTAAGATTAGTTCTACTAAAAGTCCCACTAAAATTTCTGGCTCAAAGAACACGCGAAATGTGATATTTAGGGCACGTTAGTGCCTTGCATTTCTGCTTTCACACCCCCTGACCACAGGACGAGAGGAAGATGATAAATACATGCATCACTCGGGGAAGAAAACAAACCAGAAGTGAACAAAAATTGATTCAAGCAAGTTTTTAAACGCAGGAAACCACAATCACACTGGATTCCAACCTATCAAAACTTGCCTCATTGCGAATCGGATTTTAATAGCATCAAGTAGCCCAGCAGTGGGTAGCTTATCTTCACACGTATGTGCCCAGAATGAGTCCTTCTGTATTTCCTTTGGTTTTATCTAAAAAACCAGACATGAGACAGAGAGAAAAAATTTAGGAGACCGTGCACAGAAATATCACTGTCAGCAAAAACTCACAGTGGCCGCAGTCCAAGGAATTTTTTTCAATGGAATGCCTATATCATGTTTTTTTTTCTCTTTTAAGTAATCAGGTAGTTCCACAATAGGAGGTCCGGGAACAAAAAGTGGTTTAGCTGGACCTAAAACCCAAAACTGAAAGATTATAGCCTATTAAAAAACATTAGTTTTTCAGCTGCCACAGAACTAGTAAAAATCACGAGAACTTAGCACGAACCAAGAAGCGGAGGTGGAGGAAGTCCTGCTCCACCTGGGGGAGGCGGAGGTGGAGGACCAGCCCCACCTGGAGGAGGTGGTAGACCTCCAGAAGGTGGTGGTGGTGGTGGTGGT